GCACGACGAGGACGGGCGGCTCCGTGGCCACCACGCGGGTAGACTCCTCCTGAGGTTTCACCACCGCGTCCTGGGGGCCCTACTCCGTTGTGTGGGGACGCGAGACGACCTCTTTTGCCTGTGCCGGAGCTGTCAGGGCTAGGGAGAGCGCTGGCGCCTCCGAGGTCCCGGATCCTTCCCTCTTCTTCTTCACCATGATGCCCACCCTGGTCACCAGGGGGAGCGCAGTGGGCACGACATCAAAGGACGACAAGCAAAACAAGGTAAGGTACTTACCTTGTCGGGGGCGATGTACGCCCTCGTCCTAGTCGGGGCTGGGGCACCTCCGATCTTCCTGGGCATGGCCTTTGCCGCGTCTTGGGGGTTGGCGAGGCGCTCGTCGGCCGGCCTCGATGTGATGCTGACGCTTGGCTAGGTAGGGGTGATGCCCTAAGGAGGGGGTGCCGCCCCGCCCTTCTTCGGGGTCGCTTGGCCTGATCTTCGCAGGGCCTGGGGAGTGGCCATCGACCTCGTGAGGACCCCGGTGGAGCGCGGGGGTTTCGCGGTCGGGGGCTCGTCGGCATCGGTGTCGTCACCAAGCTTCTGAAGGAGCTCGCTCTGCGACAGACGGGATATCTCTGCCACATCATCCTCGGTCGCCTCTGAGTCCCTTTCGCTGTCCTCGCCAGTGCTGTCGCGGAGGACACTAGCACCGGAGAATTAGGGCGCTCGGGCGGCACGAGCCCCAAGTCGTTGAAGACAGGCATGGCGGCGCCCAGTGCCTCCCTGTCATCGCCGTGGTACAACGGGACATAGGAATCTGGAAGGTTGCCGGGGTCGCTGCCGAGTAGGAAATTCATGGCTTTGTCTAGCTCCTTGCCCGTCAGACTCCCTGAGCGCAGCCAGATGTCGTCCCACGCGCCTTGGAGCTCCCACATGGGGTGCGAATGCGACTGAAGAGGCGCCAACCGTTGCATCAGGAATACATTCACAAGCATACCCCCCGTCAGCATCCGGGGCTCCACGTCCGCGGTCATCTTCCTCATGACGGGCTCGGCCCGGGGGTCGGAGATCTTCTCATGACCCCATCCTTCAAGCTTCTCCGGCAGCTCGGTCGACAGCTCCAGCCGGTCGTTGAGTCCCCCGACGTCCATGAAGACCCAGCGATGGCGAAAGCCTTCTACCTTATTCCCGGCCCTCATGAGCACATTGCTCTTGTGGACCACGGCGAAGGATAGGCATCCAGAGCGCTACGCCGGGTCATGCAGCCGCAGGTAGAAGAAATGTCGAAGAAGCGGCACAGTGGGCCTCACGCCCACAAACGCCTCACAATAAAAGGCGAAGATGGACAGAAGGAGGATAGAAATGGGCTGGAGGTGGAGAGCCTGGACCTGATAATGGTCGAGGACGGCGCCGAAGAACTCGGAGAAAGGTGGGATGAGTCCCGCGAAGACGCCGTGGAGGAAGAAGGGCTAAACCATCCGGTGTGGAAGAAGAATGAAAGCAGAACTAACAACATTGGACACATCTATTGTGGAAGAAGAATGACTTCAAGATCCTTTGATGGACTTGCCATTGGTTGAGAAGTCGATTCCGGCTATCTTTGTGAACCACGACAATCAAACCGTTATTATCAAAGTAAAGAATTCAAAGGACAACATAAAGTCCAACATGCACATAAGAATGAGATTAAAAGTTGTCAAAAATTTAAAAAACTCTAGGGTGATAGCGTTGGATTACATTCAGCGGCTAAGAATCTGGTAGATGCCTTTACCAAAAGGCTATCACATGTTGTGATAGACAATGCATCGAGAGAGATGGGTATGAGACCCACATGAGTTGCCATGGTAGTAACCCAACCTATCGGAGATCCCGTGAAGTAGGATCTGAGAAAACAAGACAGTGGTGAACTAAGGAGGATAGTAACTATACTAAGCCACTCCATTGGAGATGCAATACTCTCGAAATCTGTATGGTAGGTTGACTGATGTCTTAATGTGTTTCAAAGATGATACAAGCACGATAGTATCTTACATAGAGATCTTTGAAAGAACACACCTATATGAGCTCGACTGCTGGTCACAGTCTATGAGATTGGGGTGATCTTTAGCAAGCTCATGAATATGCCAGAAGTGTGACTAATATGTTCCACCTGAGGGGTCAGCCTTCAACATCTAGTACTAGTAAGACATGTGGTGAAACTTCTTTACGCCAAACTAACAATTTAAGGCATAGTCCATTGTTCAGTTATGAAGGAGTGTAGCTACTTGCTCTAGGTGGAGTTCAACCTTAACATGTCTCCACTGAAATACTGGTATGTCAAAATAGTGTTTGAAACAAAGGAAAAAAAATGGGCCCTTGAGATCTGGTAGGGGATTGTTGAAATATTAGGGTAGTCCTAGGGCACATCTAACAATTTCTGAAAATCTCCGATGACCCATGTGGGCTATATGGCACTACGTGTGGTGTGTGAAGTTTAGCCTTATACCGCTAGTTGGAGAGGAGTTAGACCTCCTCATACGGGATTCTCTTCGACATGATATTGAAGCTTGAGAAGAGAAGTGGTTCCGCACGCTCCTCCTATGCCGCCCGCCTCGCCTCGCCTCGTCACGACGCACCGCGGGTTGCGGGAATGTGCCGAGACGAGCCGAGCTCATACCTATGCGCTTATTTTTGTCGGTCGGGAACGAAAAGTCTTTAACAACCGGGCCACGTTCTGAGACGTCGGATCGTAGGTTGTTACCCACTCGGACGTGAGTCCAGCCCACGTCTCTCCACGCGACTGCGCCTATATATGTGAGGTGTCTGCCAACCCTAGCCGTCACACGAGACATATCGCATCTGCCTTCACGGTCGCTGTCGTTCCTTTGTTGGTGATGCCGCCGGTGATCCCATCCCATCCAACGCGTACACCATTGATGGAAGACCAAGCCTCCGAAAACCCGCCTCTTCGGATTCTGTACGGAAAAGGCACGATTAGTTTTTTGGGGAGCGTCCCCTACGCGACTGCTTGCCGCCGTTCGTCCACATCCGCTGCATCCATGGGCGGAGCTACAGGGTGGCCAGGGTGGGCCGCGGCCCACCCTGGGATTTTGGGTTAACCTATATACCTATGGATCTGTTACTGGGCTAGAGAGAGAAAAAAAATAGCCCAATAACCCGAACGCAGCCCAACTGATGCAGCCACAACACACTCCTCGTCCAGATCGAGCCAGCGACTACATCGAGCTAGGAGGATCCCTTTCCCTTTTCCGCCCCCCTGCGAGCTGCTTGCGCGTGCGCCTGCGCCTCTGCCCTGCACGTATGCGGTGCCGCGTCCCTGCCCCTGCCTGCCTGACGCCCCTACTAAGCCGGCCGCGGCCGCCCAGTGCCCCAGTGCCCCTGCCTGTCCTACGGTAGCAACTCAGCTGAGCCCGATTTAAGGTATGAACTGCCCAATTTCCGATTCCTAATTTCTAATTTATGGTTTATTTGTTCTGTGCTATGCTATCCAATAGATAACCGAACACCTGCATAATTTTGCACATCATTTCTCCCCCAAATAGCTTTATTATTAGAAAGTAATTCTTATTGCAGAATTGTTGAAGAAATGAAGAGGACCAGATACATTGTTTTCTTTTTCAAAGAGAAGCTATGAAGAAAGGGAAGAAGAAGGCAGAGGCTATGCCAGATGTGGCCATCGAAATCTTGTTGATCTCTCGGTTGAGCTTCTTCAAACAGGGAGACATATTATTCATAATTGGGTGTACTTGCTGCTAAAGTTGGTACCGATTCTATTGGTGGCCACGACAAATATTGAGAGAGCATTTTTAGCTATGAGTTTAGTAAAGAGCAAGTTGAGAAATGAGATGGGTGATAACCTTTTGAATGATTGCCTAGTCACATACATTGAGAGGGATATTTTCTCCGAGGTAAATGAAGATGATATAATTTATACCTTCATGGCATTGCAAAAGCGTAGCCCAGAAATATAATCTTTTTGAACTTCTCAAGGTATGTACTATGCTCCATCTAGTATACCATGTAGGCTTCTTTATGCAAAACTTGGACTTAATTGAGAATTACTTAGACTTAGTTGAGAATTTTAGTGTGTTTGTAAGACCGTATTAATCTATTTCTATGTGATATTAATAATTAGTTAGAACATTCACATGTCATTTTTTTCGTTTTTTGGGAAGGGCGGACCACCCTGTTCTCAAATGCTAGCTCCGTCACTGGCTGCATCATCTACATTTGCATCGTCTTCATCGTCACCATGTCCGCTGAAGTCGAGCGTGTTGTCGCTGAGAAGCTTGAAACCGAAAAGAAGGCCATTGATGACGCCACCGCTGCTACCGCCACTGCCGCGGCCTCTACTTGGCCGAATGGAGGGCATAATTCGTTTATCCTGCTTTTATTGATTCTGTTTTAGCCATGCTAATGTTATACATAGATATATCTGCTATTAGCGTAGCATGCGCTTTGGTGATTCGATATCAACGTGTTTATTTATGCCAATGTCTATGTTAGTAATTTATTCGTTGATTAATTTACTAATGAAAAAATTGCTACTCAGCACACTCCACATACATGGACGTCGGTCGCGATCGTCGCCGGCCGCCACGTGATGCGTGCATGTTTGTGTGCCACGCAGCGTGGCACTTTCCGCGCCCATACGCTGGACGCGCGTCGTGACGGTGCTACAGGGTTCGTCGGCGGGTCACACCCGTGAAGGACCCAGCTCAGCTCAGCTCAGCTCAGGAATCGATGTGTCGGTACTTGGAGTTTGCCGAGAACGGTTAACGGCCGAAGGCTGATTGCACTGCCGAAGCAAAGCTCGGACGCGATCGCCGGTGGAAGGCCCGTTGCGTGCCACCGTTTCCGTGCAATTTTGCACGCCCACCACGCGTGTCGACGTAGCGGCAGCAGCACAGGCTGCCAGGCGGGGGCCACGAGGTGCCCACCGCCCCCTTGGCGCCCCATAACATCCGCTCAACCCACACACTCCAACGAGCGCGCGGGGCGACCGGCTAACTCCACCAATGCCGCCGCTGCTCACCCTCTCCACCTCGCCGGCGCTGCCGCCCCCGGCGCCACGGAGGGCCCGGTTCAGGGTCGCGGCCTCCGCCGACGTCGGCGCCACCGGCCGAGCCGCCGCCGCCAACGACTTCCCGCCGTTCCTGCCCAGGGCGGTCGAGCGCATCCGCGACGGCGCCGCCCTCCGCCTCACCAAGCGAATCGAGCGCGTGCCCGTCCAGGCGAGATAGCTTCTCCGCAAACTGCCGTAATTTTGCTTTTCTGTTGATAATCTGCCGTAGTAACACCCGTGCTGAATTTTTTCTTAACCGATTCCCACTCCAGACCGGCTTCTCCAAGAGCCCGATACCGAGCAGCTGCGTGAGGCCACTCAAGCAGCAGCAGAGCGCCGATCCGGTCGTGCTGCTCCACGGCTTCGACAGGTTCGTGCAATGCAACACCAAATTTTGGGGCGCTGCCTATCTTACCGTTCGACCTGCAATGTCTAATTCCGGTCTCAATGGGGTGCTGCCACAAGAGTCTTCTTCTACTTTTACCATGCATTTAGCAGGATGGACACTCTAAAAGTGTTAGATGCAGTTCTTGTTTAGAGTGGAGGTATACCTACCCTTTGCTGGAGGATGCTGGGTTGGAGACTTGGGCTGTGGACATTCTTGGATGGGGCTTCTCTAATTTAGGTATGCCCTCACTCTGCTGCATATCGTTGGAATTGGTTCTATAATTGTGCTTGCCACAGTTGCAAGTTGTGACAACTTCTGATATATTGATCGATTGGATCGTAGAAACAAGGCCACCCTGTGATATTGTGTCTAAGCGCGAGCATCTTTATCAGGTATACAAGTTAACTACTACTGCTGGTGTACATGTAGATAATGTCCATGTGATGAGTTCAGTTCCTACTTCCTAGTCTCCAAATGTCCTGTTTAATTCAGAGTGGGTTTGATAAGTAACTGAAGTCTCAGCCTTGCTCAGAGCTGCACAAAAACTAGCTTCTATTCCAAAATAAGGACTGGGTTTCTGGATTATGTATTACTGCGCTTTTTTTAAGCAAGTTTTCAGCTTGCCTTTCCTTGTTTAAATATGCTCAGTCTTTTAAGACCAGTTTTTATGATTTTGTAGTAAAACTGTTTTTATGATTACAGTGGTAATATCCTTACATCTTGATAAACTCTTTGTGTAGTTCTGGAGATCCTACATCAAAAGGCCTATGGTACTAGTTGGGCCTAGCCTGGGTGCTGCTGTTGCCATTGATTTCGCAGTCAACTATCCGGAAGCGGTACCAGCATTTTAAGAAATACTCTGTCCTTTTCATTTCTTACCTAGCAGTCTAGCACGTAGGAGTAGTACCAAAAACTAAAGATATATATTTTTAATGCTGTCACTGATGCGAATTGTATGTACTTTTCTGTAACTGGACAAATCCGCAAGCTTTGTTACAAGAAGCCAACTTCATCTTCATCGCAGGTATCAAAATTAATCTTCATTGGTGCAAGTGTATATGCGGAGGGCACAAAAGATATGACCAGAATGCCTAAATTTGTTCCATATGCTGGGGTGAGTGTTTTACTGAGCTGCATGCTTTGCTTCAACGTAGCTTTATTTCAGTGTCGAATCATTCTGTTTCTGTTGATATCTTTTGCTGTTACTGTTTAGTTTTTGTGTCCTGAACTCCTGATGCCCATGCTTACTGTATGCATATTTATTTTACTTTATGATGATTATGCTTGTCCTAAAGAATGCTCATATTGTATTATTATCTTTTGTTTGTGTCAAACCGATCGAGTGGTATGTTCATATGTTTTGGCTGGAATACAGTGTAATTCTTTGCTCCCCAGGTTTTTGTACTGAAGAGTCTTCCTCTACGACTATTCGCTACACGCTTGGCATTTTATAATATTCCAGATGGATTCTTTGATTGGGTGCAGGTAAGTATCTGTACATTCCTTACTGAACGGAACAACTATCATATTCTGGTTGTTGGTCTATCAGTTAACTCCACTTTATGAGGCGTACTCATACCTTTCTAGTATGCGGTTTTCTCTATCATTCTTCAAGAAACTTTTTTTTCTTGAACACACACGTAAATGCGTGTTGTTGTGTATTAGTAAGCTAAAAGACAAAAAATGCCAAAAAAATGCCCAATGTGCAAGTACTTAACAAGTTAACTGTCATGCTGCATTTGATGTGTCAAAAACATACAAACCTTTTTTTGCTTCATGCTGCAATATTGTAATTGAACTGCAAAAACATCTTATATTTAGTTATAGAGGTAGTGCTTTGCATCCCAATCATATATTTCTTGCCAGTCGAATTCTGCTTAGGTATACCTGATATCCTGTTTTTAACAGTGTGCAGGTATCACCACGCGCAATTGGAACCATTTAGTTTCCTCTTTACTTTTGGGTTACAAGTCATGTGTTTTTTCTTGTATTAATTTATTATTCATTACAGATTGGCCGTCTACACTGCCTGCTTCCTTGGTGGGAAGATGCTACGGTTAATTTTATGATTACTGGAGGTTATAATGTCATAAACCAAATAAAGCAGGTTCTTTTCTATAAACATCCAAATTATGATTTTATCCTCTGTTCACATATGCTAAATGTTGCTTATTCCTTATCCAATTCCGTTGTCTTCATATCATTCATGGTGCTGTAGGCTCGTAGGACCTATCAGTCAGTAACCTTCTCGTTTTATTTAGATGAAGGAAGAGAACACTCTCCCTGTCTCTGCATCCAAATATGCACACAACAAACTTGTTACAAAATCATTAAAATATGTGTCGGATGACCACTGTTGGAGGCTGTAGCCTTGTTTGCTGCAACAAAACTTCAGTGATGTGAATATTACTGGTCATGCAAGACACCAAATAAATGCTATCGATGCTGATTCAGAGTTTCCCTTTTTCTCATTTTTTTCTGAAACATTCTCTTTTTTCTCAGTATTGTTCCTTTACTATCTGAAGTCTTTTGGTTCTTCTAATATAGATAGTTCAAGTGCTGATAGTGCTTCCTTCAGCACTAGCAGAATCTGTTGCATAAAAAATAGCAATTTTTTGTAAACAACGGGCCCTTCTGTTGATTTACACTAAAGAAACTGCCACGGTATAACTGCCTTACAGAGCTTAACCAAAGCAGAAATAAACACTAACATCTCCTGTTATTACAAAACATAGAGCATCAGCTAAGCTGCAAATGGGTCTCTAGCAAAGCTGTAAAAACATCACTTTCACCCTATGATCCTTCTTGTTGCCGGCGCCCATCAATGCATTCGTGCATATGCCTCCATGATCACCTTGGGCAGTATCACTCCAGCCTAAATGTTTATTCGGTCTTGTTCTTTCTGCAACATCGCCCAGGAGTCAATGTGGCTGCACAAGTTAAAGATGACAGCTAAAGATCATCAGGAAATTTATGTTTGTACATATTATTCGATCTTGTACTCCCTCCGATTCATTACTTGTCTTAGATTTGTCTAGATACGAATGTGACATGTTTTAGTGTTAGATAGATCCGTATTTAGACAAATCTAAGACAAGTAATATGGATATGAGGGAGTATTTTATTATGTTTGTACATATTATACATTAATGAAAATATACCGTAGAATAATTATTCTACAGTTTCAGGGTTAAGAAAAAGGATCATCAGGAACTTTATGTTTAAAATACACAGGTTTGCGTGTTTCCCTAATTGTTCAGCACACTGCAGCTACCTCACCGAGCACCAGTTTCTGCTGAGATAAAAGGAGAGATGAAATTCATCCCCCAACCATATCATCAATTGTATTAGCTTGAAGCTTTGTATATATAAACACCAATTCATAATGATATGTCATTCTCATTTGCTGATTATCAATTATAGACTCTATACTTCTGCTACTAGCATTTGAATTGCTGGATATCACAATCTGGCGCAGAAGAAAAATGAAATGGGTTGTACAACCGAGTAATAATTCTGACCAGTGTCCTGTTTTCGTGGACAGGTAAAGCAAAAATGCCTGGTCTTATGGGGAGAGGATGATGGAATTATTAGTAATAAGCAAGCATATGTAAGTTTGCCTGATGATGCGAAAATGCCATGCATGGTCTAATTTGCAAGATATATGCATGTCTCAGATACAAATGCACGCCATTCTAAACGTGTTGTGGCGCTCTGCAGCGGTTACAGCAGGAACTCCCAAGCGCAATTTTAAGGCAGGTAGGGCAGTGCGGCCACATTCCTCATGTCGAGAAGCCAAGGGAGGCTGCAAAGCATGTGCTCGACTTTCTCGGGGGCGATGGTGTGGACAAGGCGGACCAGGTTTCTTCCCTGTCATCAGCTCTGGTATCAACATGAGGTATGCCATTCCTCATTGAAAACCCTGCTTCTCCACCGTCCTGCTGCCGGTGAGCCATCGACGTCTTACATGCACCGCCCAATGTGCTGCAGGACCCGGTGAACAGAGGACCGGACCCCTCAGGCTAGCGTGCACGAGGTAACATGTACATGGCGCACCTGTGCTGTTTACGCTCGCCCCAGCGGCATCCTGCCTGCGTTCTGGACCGGCTTGGAGCAACCGAGTTGATCAACATACTTACAGGCCCCAAATTCACCTCACCCGTGGAGATGGAAAAGGTTGCACTAGACTAGCGAACTCAAACAGCTATTCAGAGGCAGAAATGTGTCTCTGACTCTGCTCGTCCGTCAGCTCCTCTTCTTTAGGGGTGTGTCCGGATCTCAGCCGAATATTCGGCCGCAGGGAACGAGTGTGAAATTTTCCAAGATATTTCTGATGAGTTTTGAGCACTGAAATTAATCCTGGGTAGATTATGAGGGAGTAGAGGAGGAAGAGATATTCCAGTCATTTTCATTTTTTTATTTTTTATTTTTCTTTCAACCTCTACTTTGCTACTGACCAATTGGTCCCTCTCGTGAACCCACCAGTCAGGCTGGCAACGCCAGCTCGCGGGACGCGCGCACGCAACTCCCTGCCTCTTCACGTTTTACTCCTACTCCTACTCCACTACCTCCCTCCTCAATCCATTTCCTCTTCCTCCTGGATCCTCTTTCTGGTCGAGCTCGCCAGGGACACCGTCGCTCGCCGCTGCAACGTCAGCCATAGGAATAGGCGGGATCCACCAGCCCTCCGTCCGGCTCGACGTCCACGCCCCACGGTCCAACATGCAGGCCCGCAGGACGCCGCCGTGAATCGCTTCATTTTTCCAGTGAGTCCTTGATCCTAGGTAGTTTCCCTAACTCTATTCAGCTCCGGCTGTCGTTCTGGTTCGATTCCTGGACACCGAGCATGCAACAAACTTTTGGACCGAGGCCGCCTTCCTCTGTTTCGTCAGCTGCCGTTGCGACGCCACCGCGGTCGTCCTCCTCCCCGAGTAACTCCAGGAACCATGACGGGCTCTGCGTCTCCTCTGGACCAAGGATTCGAAGCCGCAGGTCTCTCTTACTTCTTCCATATTTGCAGGGTGAGAAGCTGTCACTGCCTTCTTGTGCCTTCTTTTCTTTGTCAGCGTCGTTTTTTCTCATTCTAGCCGTTGCTGGAGACGGTTGTGGCGCTGCCACCTGAGACCATTTTGGTCCGGGCCACATGGTTAGGCCACAAGCTTGTTGCTGCTTACTGCTGTTTGATGCTGCTACTTTTGTTGTTTGCTGTTTGTTGGCCGCTCGCTATTGCTCTGCTTGCTACTGCTCGTGGGCTACCTGTACTTCAGAGAAAGAGAGAGCATTTTGTTATACAGAGTACTATGTTATGTTGAACCCTACTGTTCATCAATCCAGCAGTTTGCTTGTGTGCTTGTCTAGCTAGCTTGCACACGCGTAACTTTCCTGGGTGATTTGATCTACCAAGTTCAGAAACCAACATATTAGGCTAAGTCAAGTTGTCGCTGAGTACGAAAGTTTACTCTAATATTTGATTTATTAAGAAAATCGAAAAAAAAATGCTCAGCTTGCTGACTTTGTAAAATCCATAAAAAATATAATCATTCCAGTTCTGTTTGGAGTAGTACTGCTATGGAGTTGGGATGGTTTAACCTGTACTGTAGCCATAAAAATGAACATATCCAGGATTGTTGTTTAGAAACAAAAGATAATGTACTCTAAAAAAATACATGTATTTAAAATTTTAAAAGCATATTTAACTTGTACTGGTGAATAAGTGATTTAAACTCATCCAACTTAGTTTTGAAAATGAACAAATCCCTCTCATGACATAATTTAATACATCATATTTATGCATACATTGCCAATTCAATTTTCTGGTACGCAATAGTTAAAAAATAGGAACTGCTAGTACATCATACATATACGTAGTATATCAAAAAGCATGGCTAGAGTTCTTTTGTTATTAAAATGCTCCCATGTTCAAAAAATAATAAAATATTAAAATGCTCCCTCTTGTGAGTTTAATAGCAGCTTAGGATAAAATCCTGGATCGCTAGAGTTGCTGCTCAATCCATTAGTTATGAAATACCATTAACTTTTTGTGTTAATAGCTGTTTTGGTAGAAAATAGAAGCTTCAGCTAGCACCAAGTCATAAACTGATAGTAGATAACTCCAAGAAGAAGTAGGTTATCAGTTTGTCGTGGACCTTCTCATAAACAATGCTGCCATGCTCTGAAGCTTCTCTATACTTTACCGATCTGTACTTCTGGTGGGCAAATGCGAAGTGCCTCTCTTCATCACCAGCTACAGCCGCTCCTTCAGCTGCAGCCATGGAAATTGCAGCCCAAACAAACATGCCCTAAGTAGTACTAAGAAATTAGTTAGAAATAATATGTAATGTATATATAAAATAACCAAGAGATATGAAAATTCATATACATATTTTATTTTATAATAGTTCTTTATCTAAGAAGATACATAATTCCATGTAACCACATTTCCAACCACCATATAACAGATTATGGTGCCATTTCATTAATAATAATGAAGATTATCAAGAAATGACCGGAAGAGATGAACAATAAAATAAAGTAGCATCTCTATACGGGCATCAAACATATCATCCATGCTGACGTAATAAGCACATACATGTAGCATTTGCACTGAACAGAACATATGAAGATGAATAAACAATGTCATACAATATTAATGCAAGGGTATCATGGACAGATCGAAATGAAAATAGGGCCTATATAAAATCCTCTTTGAAATTATAATCGGTGACCTATCATTCAATAAGTTATGGTTGAAATAGTAAATGTATACTCCTTCCGTTCCTAAATATAAGTCTTTTTAGATATTTCAATAAGGACTACATACGGATGTACATAGACATATTTTAGTGTAGATTCACTCATTTTGCTCCGTATATAGTAGATACATTCATTTAAGGGACAAACTTGGGAAAAGCTTTTTTGGACAGAGGGAGTATATCGAAAAGGTGTGTATGATTGATAGTAGAGTCATGATGGCTTGTGTTATAATAAGCAAGCAGGGAAAAAGAATGAATTAGAAATAACAAGCCTGGGTAAAAGTTGTTGTTTTGTAGACCAGAAACAAAGGCGCCATACTGCAAATCAGATAAATGTTTTGGAATGGCTAAAGAGTAAAGATAACATGAAAAAAATAGTGACTTTGGGCCAACATAGCAGAAGCACGGGATTACTGATTTAGTGTCGCCTTACTTCTTGAAGCACAAAATAGCACGGCTACACAACCTTGCTTTGAGCAAAGTGAGCATAACAGCTACCCGCTACCCATTAAGCGTAGTTATGAAGGAAAAAGGACAACCTAACCATAATTGCATAATGAATTATTTTCCAGCAGAAACAACATCATGTTGGCCAACCTGAAAGAAAGGACTCACCTTTAATGAAGAAGGAAGCCGAACACACCCACATTATAACAGCAACAGGAGAATTTCCAAGAATTTCTGGACTACAAAAATTCATAGAAACTCCATTATGTGGGACAAACTCACAATTGGCGAGCTTGGTGAGCAATTACACAGGGACACGATTAAGCAAGCAGACTTAAGACCTGATTCTAACAATTGCCAACTGTGAAATAATACAATTAGTGAGTGAAATATTACATGCTAAGCAAGCCAACTCAAGAAACTGATTCTAACCAATTACCTTTAGACAAGTAGTCTAAATTTCATGTGACATGTGGTGTTCATTGAATAACTGATAAAAACAGAGGAAACAATAGAAGATGGTAAGAAATAATTTTATGTTGCAGAAATGAGAATACTTAATGAAGCATTGGGGCATAAGAATAGATAAATGAGTCCTTAGTTAACTCTTTAGCAAGATCTGCACATCAATCCAAAAGTAAGAGCTGTCTATTGCTGATCACTTGCTACACCGATGAAACATTCATCCGAATATTATCACTCACTAACCGGCAAATTGGCACACACAAAACACACATCATGCATGAGGTAATGGCTCTATAGGCATCGACAACATCACCGATCCATACCTGCGCACGAATTGATGAACAAAGGTGAGGGCACACATGGCTAGCATGGCAGGAGGAAGCATTGGCAGGGAAGGCAAGAGCTGCAACCAAGGGAACCGTAGAGAATATCAGTGGCAGGCACAACAAATGGAAGAAATTAAATAAGCTAATTTTTTTAGCATTCAGCAGAACTGTACAAAGAACCGAATGCCACCACAAATTGAACCTAACAAGCCCACCATATTAGTATATACAATAATCAAGCGTCATTGCAACTTTCATTTAGGGGAATCTAAAAGAGAGAAATAAATATACCAATCAACATGGAACATCCGGTTGTGCTTGTTTGCATTTTCAAATCACCGTGTTGATCTTAAAATATTCCAGAAGATAAGAACGGAGGCATAGGCATCACAAAATATTTGAATGATGAGAGACGGTCCATGCTAAAATTTGCCTTGAATGATTGGGGTGTAGAGAAATTTGGGAAGCTACATCATTGTTCAGGTTTACTTAGAAACCAAAGGATATTTCTCCCTATCATATCCAGCAAGAAGTTTAGTGCGGATGCACCAAACACCATGAATCTGATCCTAGTCCAGCATAAACTTGCCATTCAACAAGAGAAAATCGAAGAAGCGGCCTAGAGGGAGCACTCACCGGTATGGTACTTCTCGACCGACAGCATCAGCATGCACTGTCATGCCATCCCCAGCTTACGCATCATGCATAGTATCATCTTCAAACAAATTTAACCTGTAGAGAATAACATTTTTTGATCGATAGGTAAGAGCAGTGCTAAAATGTTCATGGGAAATCCTCTTTTGAGTTGTACAAATGGTGAGACATTATTAAAGACACAAAGAATAGCATTAAGTATACAAGCGTGACAAATGGCACCAAACTCTTGAGGTTTTCAATATCTGCTGAAATTGGGGTATTGGAGTAAAAACTCAGTTCTCACATAATTTTCAATTGCACACAAAGAAACCTTGACGTGGACAAAATAAGCGCTAAGACTCTAGTTCAAAGATAGGAGCACCGTAACTTAACTTACGGAAATTACTTCAGATATTCGGCTCAGATTGGCTGCTAGTTATGATGGAAAATATCCAAAAGGAAGAAATAACTCTGGCCTTCTTCTTTTGTGATGCTAAACAGCAGCATATGATGAATGATATGACAATGGAACAACCATGGTGACCTGCACAAATTGTTACATACATACTAAGGCATTAGTTCAAGTAAATTAGTCATTTTGAATCGGTACAGTACTGCATGTTGATACAAGAAAAACTGGTTCCTGAAGAAAAGAGTTGTGACCTCTTAAGGCAAGACAAAAAGAGAGGGAGAGACCAATAAATTACTCAATGATGAAAGGACAGACCCAGTGCATAGAAGCTCCCACACAAGGTGGGGTCTGGGGAGGGATTATAGGAACCTAGTCTTACCCCTGCAAAGTGCAATGCAGAGAGGCTGGTTCGAACCCAGGACCTCTTGGCACAAGTGGGGAGGACTTCACCACTGCGCCAGGCCTGCCCTCTACTCAATGATGAAAGAAGCCAGGTAAATTACCTGTGAGATTTGACCACATGACAATGTCAGCAATTGATAGACCATAATCAACAAAAAAGGTTCGAGTTGCCAAGTATCCATCAAGAAATGAGCAAGCAGATTCAAATTCAGAGCCCGAGAGAATGAGTTGGTGCGTACTTGAGCCATTGGTCAACCTACAGATTTGCAAACAATAGCAACTCAGGACACAGTGAGATCATAGTGAAAATCAATGACAAACACCGTAAAACCAGAACATACTTGTGCTGCCTGAATATCGTCCTGGCCATAGAAGCTGGAAACAAATGCAGCACGTGCAATGTACCGGAGAATTGTGTTGACACCATGTATAAAATCCCTGTGCACAATCATGATAGCTTCACTGAGATACTACAAAATACCATACAAAAATACTGTCATATCTCACAAATAAAACTCTTTTGGTTGACACATGATGTTCTAACAGTCGTCAGTGCCATCAACACAATTTTCTCGAACCAGGAATATTCGGATGAGGAGATTAAAATAAGAGCCAATCTTCAGAGTTAACTACAATAACTATTCAAACATATATAACTCTTCAAAAAAAACTATTCAAACATATATCACCGTAATAAAGTGTCCACAGTTCGTGTATAAAGTAAAGGAAATGTGGTAGTTAATCAGAGAGAGGGAGGGAACCTAAAAGGTATAATTGAACATTGATCACTTACCCAGAACTGAAGTGTAGTGTGGGCACTGAACCTGAGGCAAGGGTTGGATCAATGATTACGGAAACACATGCAATCTTTGCAGCCGAAATTGTCGGCGTTCTGGGAACGGGGGTCCCCAGACTTGCCTGCCTACGGCCTACGGCGTGGCTCAAGGGGCGGCCCAGCATGGCCCATCTTCAACAGCACGAACTCAAGACCCTCACGAGGGGCCAAGCCTCGTGGGATGGACGACAGGAGGCTTCCTCAGGCACAACCTTGTCAGGCTGGCTCACGAGGAGGCGGAGAGATCAAGGCGGGGTACCTCGCGAGGTGCCCATGACGCAAGCTATGACGACCAAGGGCGCCAGGCGGGCGCCAGCCCGCACAGTGTCCTTCTTTCCTCTTTGGTGCAAGGGGGGCAAGCGCAGGCGAGAGCATCAAGCAAAGGCATCCATTTCGGTGCAACAAGACCAAGACCAGCAGGACGGCAGGATGGAAGTCATCGTGGAGCCCAAGCCGGCATCACCACCAGAGCCATTGACAGGCAATGACCAACTTTAGTCAGGATAAGTGTACTAGATGTTCCCCTTCAAAATGGCCAATTGTTGGCGCCCTTCCTGCTCAATATTTGGAAAGAGGCTCAGGGCCTTTGCCTATAAATAGGACTAGCCACCCCCAGGGTAGAGGCATCAAAAGAGAGAGCGACTGAACTCCCCCTAGCAGTTTATCGCACCAGCCAAGAACAGACCCTCGCGAGGCTGTTCTTCCTTGTACTGTTCACCATCAGCCCAAGAGGCAAGCCACCACACCACAAACTAGAGTAGGGTATTACACCACAATGATGGCCCGAACTAGTATAAACCCTGTGTCTCTTATGTTATTCCCTTTTGTAGCTTAGATCCTAGCAAGGCGGTGAAGTGCAGGTAGGCAGAAGGCCAAATCTCCGCGCGCACCCCAGTGTTCGAATATATAGGGTCTGCCGGAACCCCAAATCCGACATTTGGCGCGCCAGGTAGGGGTGCGCCAGAATTTGTCTTCCACCGCCCTGTTCTTCATCGACCATCAGGTCCATGTCGGACGCTCGTCGGGCCCGCACCGAGCGCCGAGCCGCTCTCGCTTCCCGTGTCGCCCAGACGGCCCCCGTTGGCGGCCACCCCGCCGTTCCCTGTCGCCCGCCGTCAACGCCACCACCGACCCGGCGGGGAACGAGCAGCAGGCATCATCGCAGCATCCATCCATGAGGTAAGACGGCCGCACTGCCACTCCCTCACTCGCCCTGACCGGCTCTTCGTCCCGCGCGCCCCGCGCGGCCATGGAGGCTCGGGCTGCGCTCATCGCGGCAAACAAGCTCCTGCGCTACCGCCCGGTCGACGATGTCTACGAAGAATGGCTCGACCGCGTCGCCGAGCTCGTCCGTGCCGCAGGGGGCTCCCCCGCACCGTCCTTCTCGCTGCACCGCGCCCCGCCCTGCGTGGGCAATGAAGCTCCGGGGGCACCTCAGCCGCCTCCCCCTCAAGAAGGCGCCCTGTCCCCAAAGCGCGTGGCTCCTGGACGGAACCCACCCCGTCCGACACCAGCGCAGCAAGAGCGGAGCTGCCAAGAGGTTCCTCGTCTCCAAGAAGCTGCCCGAGTGCTCCCTGCTCCTGTCCGTCGCGACCACGCTCCTGCTCCGGCGCACCAAGACCCCGCGCTGCTCCCAGCTGCAGCGCATGGGGGCCCGCAAGACCAAGCTCCTCGTTACCAGAGGCCTCCCGTGGCCACAGCAGGCTGCCGCGCCTTCACCACCGAGCTACGCAGCGTCGCGTGGCCCTGCAAGTTTAAGCCAGACCTACCCCCTCGCTACGACGGCATGGCCGACCCTGCGGAGTTCCTCCAGCTCTACGAGCTGGGCATCGAAGCCGCCAACGGGGATGAGAAGGTCATGGCGAACTGGTTTTCCATGGCACTCAAGGACGGGGCTCGCACCTGGCTCCTAAACCTGGCCCCAGGCACGATCTCCTCCTGGGACGAAATGCGCACCCGTTTCATCGCCAACTTCCAAGGTACTCGGACCGGCCGCCTGCCGTGAGCGACATGCGCTGCATCAAGCAGCAACCAGGGGAGACCCTGCAGAAGTACATCCAGCACTTCAACAACGCACGACTCAAGATTCCCAGAGTGACCGAGGAGGCCATCATCTCAGCCTTCTCCGACGGTGTGCGTGACGTCAAGATGAAGGAGGAGCTGGCGATGCATGAAGATCTGTGCACTTCCCTGGAGCTGTTCAACCTGGCAACAGGGCGCCTTTCCCTCCTCGAGCTGCCGGCCGCAGACCCGGAAGAGAAGAAATCCAAGGCCAAGGACGTGAAGCGCAAGGGCAGAACCAGACACCAAGCGGGGCAGAGATCAGCCCGAGTCTTTTAAGGGTAGCCGGTACTGTGTGTACCACGACCTCCACACCCACAACACCAACGAATGCCAAGAGCTCCGAGCCGTGCGAGAAGGAAGGGTCGGCCGGCGCCCCGACCGTAATGATCGTGGCTACGGCCGAGGAGGAGGAAGGAACGCAGGACGCTGGGAAGACCGCGACCCTCGCCAAGGGTGGCGCGACCGACCTCGCGAGGATCGCTGACAGGATCCGCCTCGCGAGGGACACTGGAGGGATCAGCCTCGCGAAGAACGCCCGCAAGGAAACGCATGCCTCCCTCCGCTGCCTCCGCAACCAAGGAGGAATGAGGACCATCATCAGGACGAGGGGGCTGGGGGATTCCAGGAGCCACGCGCGATTGCCTGCATCCTGGGCGGAGCGCAGGCCCCAGCCTCTCAACGCATCTTCAAGCAGTTCGCCCGCAAAGTGAATGCAGTCCTCCCCAAGCTTGAAGCCACGCGCCCCCTCAGGTGGTCGGCGTGCACCATCACGTTCAGCTCAGCGGATCAGCTCAAGTGCGCGGCCACAGCTGGAGTCCTCCCAATGCTTTGCTCCCCGGTCATCAGTAACGTGCAAGTCACCAGGACCCTCATCGACGGCGGGGCAGGGCTCAACATCCTGTCCATAGAGACATTCAACAATCTCCAAGTGCTTTACGATCAGCTTCAGCCAACCAAGCCTTTCTCTGGAGTCACCGACGGCTCCATAGTCCCAATCGGGCAGGTCCGCCTCCCTGTCACCTTCGGGGCCCGCAACAACTACCGCACCAAGCTCATTGACTTCGACGTCGCTCACATCCGCCTGCCATACAACGCCATCCTCGGCTACCCAGCTCTCGCCAAGTTCATGGTCGTGACTCATCACGGCTACAACGTCCTCAAGATGCCAGGAAGCGGTGGAGTCATCACGGTCCCCCGTGAAGAAAGAGACGCAGTGTGCTCCTTGGAACGAGCTTTCCAACCCGCATCACTTGAAGACCCAGATCGCGGGAGCGGGATGCTCCCCGAAGCCGCTCCCAAGAAGAAGAAGACGTCACCAGGCCCGACCCCTCAGGAGGCAGGCCCCTCAGGGTTTGCGCCAGCTCAGGGGGCACCTCCTTCTGTCGCATAGGGAGGCGCGCCCGGCGCCCTCCTCAAGCAGGGCTCGGGGGCTCCCACCTGGAGGGCCACCGACCTTGAAGGAGCAAATCAAGGAGAGCCAAACCCTCAGGAGTTCGTCAGTCAGGGCACACAGGAATTGCAGGAGTCAAGAGTCATGAGTGGTAGCCGCCGCTTACCAGCCGCAGCTCCCCATCCAGGCGAGGATGGTGGGCTGCGCGTCTGCATCGACATCCCAGGGCTCAACCGAGCCGCCTCTCAGGAGCGCTTCTGGCCCTCACGCGTGGGGCACTGTGAAGGCCCACCCCACAGCTACGTTTGCATGCCCTACGGCTTGCCGAACGCGGCTGCGGTGCGCCAACGCCTCATGAGGGGCATCCTGGAGGCTCAGGAGGCCAGGCGTTCCGCAGTCCTGGCGGAGATGGAGATGGTTTGCGAGGAGCCACCAGCGCCTCCGGAGCCCCCGAGGCTCCTGGGCCTGGGGGCTCGTGAAGATCGGCTCCCACAACCCGCTACGTTTGCTACTTCAACACCCCTTCATCGTCAACACTATCAGGTGACACCTTTCAAGTTTCATTTCCAGCTGGGAGCACCCCCAGGGCTGCATCATTCCCAGGCCGCGTGGGTCCGTCCCTGCGGCGTGTATCCCTTTTGTTCATGTTTTTAGCTTACCTTGTTGGGGGCGCCCCTCGAGCTGCATCATCCCCAAGTCGCTCGGGTCAATCCCGGCGGCATATATCCCTCTTGCAGTTATTCTCTGTTTATGCATTCGACCCATCATGCTTGTTATTTGGTGCCTGTCCGTGGCACCCCTTCTTCCTTCGTGGCGGCCGCTTGCACGTTAAAGGCGGGGTACCTGAGCATCGCGACTCAGGGCTCCTACCGGCTCTCCAGCCCTCACCCTCTGGCTTTGTCCACGGCATCGCGCCCTGGCAAACCAGTGACGGTTGAGACTCACTCGAGGGCCGGGACCCGAGGACGTAGAGCGTCGACATCTAACCAAGCTTGCGCGTTAAAGGGGGGTACCTGAGCATCACGACTCAGGGATCCTACCGGCTCTCTAGCCCTCACCCTCTGGTTTTGTCCACGGCATCGCGCCCTGGCAAACCAGCGACGGCTGAGACTAGCTCGAGGGCCGGGACTCGAGGACG